CCTAAGAAACACAATTAAGTGATTAATAATTGCAATAATGGATGCCTAAGTCACCACGGATATTTTAGGTTAGTGACCAAAAACCAAATAAGTTGTGGTCTAGTCTAAAAACAAAACAAAAAATCCTCAATTATCTTTAGGAGTTACAAATTTCTACAAGTACCCGTAGTACTATCTATGTTTAGGAATACAGACATCACGGAGTCACATAAGTCAAGAAGGGTAGTATTTATAAGTTTGAAACTACAATTGAATTTTTCAGTAACTAGATCAGACATCAAAGATAGTTCATGTAATCATCTCATTGCTATGTTCCTTTATTTTTTAATTTAGGTAGTAGGGTGGGAGGAGGGGCAAAGGCGGGGGAGGAATACAAACCTTATTGTACAGCCACTCTGTCCAGGATGGTGCTTTGCATAGAGGGGAAACAAGTATCAAACCCATAACACGTTGTGGGTATTTCATCTGCAGTAAAGTAACGTATAATAAAAGTGGCTGAAATTGGAAACTAGTTGACAAAGCATCTCTAGGAAGATAATGACTTACAGCAAACAGGGTAAGAATATAAGCTCCAGCTGTTGCCCCCAAGCACAATGCTCCACCAACTCTGCAAGAGAGTAATATTATTTGCAAAGTTTGCCTTACAAATTATTGATTATTATAAATATTTCTAAATTCTAATTGATGATCAGTAGAAAGATGAGTAAAAACAAAAGAAATAGTTATACTAAAGTCAAACTTAGAAATACCCAAAATAGTCAAGGATTTCAGCAATCTGATCAGCTAAATCATCGACAGACAACAACTGCTCATCAGGCCCCACAACATCAGCTCCTAGCTGTAATAATTCTTAACACGAGTACCAGATAAGAACCATCACAATCCATGAAGCTCGTCATCTTAACCATTATCAATAATCAAGGAATCATGGAACGGACCTCATGTCCTGGAGGACTGATGTGATAAATGCAAAAGTTGTGGAGAAGTAGAGAAAGTGCATCTGGACAAAAGAAGAGACCTCGGAAACAGGACATGTCTGTTATGGGCCATGTGCAGGTAAAGGAAGAATCAGATTCGACGACATCACTTTGTAGGAATAACAAGTACGTTTGCATTCGGTAAAATAAGAATTACTTCAAGCAGATATTCAAAATTATTCTAGAAGGTTAATTACATATTACAATTTAATGTTCAGTATTTCAAAATATCCACACAAAGCATGTTGCATTATAGTAGGCTGTAGATAAAGAAATTCTCGGGGAAGAGATCATTTCATTCAAAAAATTTGAAGAAAATAAGATAAAAACTCTCTCATGAAAATAATAACAGAAATTCCATGAAATAAGAAAGATTCAGCCACATTTCAAGGCAATGGCAAAGAATAAACCACATGTATTACCAGAAGCCTGTCAAAACTAAGATTGACATCATGGTCAATAATATTGTTTTCCTTACAGTTTAAAGCCAAATCAGGATAGGTAATTAGCGCAGGCTTGTCCTGGTCTCCAAAAACAGCCACCGACACAGAACCATAACCAGTTTCCACAATATGCTCCTGTAAGATATCATGAAAGCATAGTTTGTTAATTCTTAATTGTGTGTGGTGTGCGTGCGCGAGCGCATGTGAGAGTGAGTGAGTGAGAGAGAGAGAGAGAGAGAGAGAGAGAGAGAGAGAGGCGAACGTGTGCCAAATATTCCATCAGCACTGAATTCCACACAAAAAAGTTGCGATACAGTATGCTTTGAAATAGGAACAATCCTTTAGTTAAAGGAGCGTATCATTTATTTCCAAACAGAATTTCCCATGTGCAGTGTCTTTTATGAAATCCTGCTAGCTAAAAGTCAGTGCATCTTTTCTTTTACTATCACCTAAAAGAATCTACACACCCACCAATTCATTATTCATATGCACATCTACAGACTGTATTGAAACAAGCAAGCAAGATACGAAACCATAAAAGTAAAACAGAAGAAAAAGAAAAGGAAAGGGAAACAAAAGAAAAACAAAAAAAATACAGTAAAACAACAATATCCAAACATAAACATTCAAGCAGAAATTCTTACTTGCTTTAATGAGGGAGAATTTCACAATCTTTATCTTACATCAGATTCAGTGTATCAAAATAAAAGCAGATCAGTTGCAATCAACCACAAGAGAAAATTAGGGTAAAGAGTCTATTTACAGACAACTAAACTAAAATAGTCACATTTAATACTTCAACCAAAAGTGATAAGCACTCTTATGCATAACATTTGCAAATGCAAATACATATAGCTAAAAATCTTCTTCTCTACTCTGAATTATGAGAAATGGGAAGAAGTCCATAAGGAAACAGGAATGAGAAAACAAATATTTCACCAAATTAGTAGCAATGCTGGATAAATCAGATAAAGATTATAACTCTATCAAACTATGATAATAATAAACCGAATAGGCACCCAAAGAAAATGCTTATAATTTTTTATTTATTTTTTTTGCCAAATTTAGCTGCTTACCGACCCTCCACAAACTCAAATTCGAAAATAAAATATAGCAAACTTAGTAAAAAAAATCATATAAGAATCGAAACGCCATTTCTCACAATACCTCATGCAAATCACTTAGAAAAAAATTGAAAAATTACGCGCAACTTAGAAATCAATAAACCAAATGTAGCTCAAAAAACTCAATCACCACAGCATATCAGAAGGTAAACTGCAAAAAACACATAATAATGCGTGTAAAAGCGTATTTGAGCATAATGTAGCTAAGGTTTGATCCTCACCTTTCCGGCGAACGGAAGTGACTCCATATCGACGGAGACTGAGTCGCTGGAGTCCGCCATTTGTCGCACTTTCTCTCTCTAAATTCGTGGTCTCGTATCAGTGAAGCATTGTGTTTGGCATCCAAAGCTCTCTGCAAAATATTAGCATATTATTTATTTATGTTCGTATTTTTTCTCGTGAGAAGGTATATATATATATAATATAATGCTGAGTGGAGTGATCGAGTCCTGTGTACTTGAGTCTTGCACCGAGTCACCGACAGTTGGGCTTTCTAGAGCGAGTGCAGTGGGCCCAAAGGCCCAAACTTGAGACCATGGTTAGGTCTTAACTTGGGTTAGGGACCGACATCTGTCACTTGCTTTAATTTCCATATTTACCCTCAAGATTTTAAATTTTATTGATTACTATGGACCTTATTTGGTAATCACCGGTTAACTGTTAGTTGTTTTGACCAGCTGATTGTGTTACGGATTGTATTAGTTGTTTTGACCAGTTGATTGTGTTAGCGGTTTATAAAAGAATATTTGGTAAAATTAGTCATTTTAATTAGTTGTTAACATGTAAAATTACTTATAAGAACATCAACATACTTTATCATTCCTATTTATGTTGAACTTATAATTTTTTAGGAAAAAAATAATTAATATGTTACATATTTATAAACTTTAAAAAAGTATATTTTATCATTATTATTTATGTTCAACTTATAATTATTTAGGTGTTCTTAAAACTTTATCACAGGGTTCACATTTTTTAATTTACCTCGGCAATTTTTGCAAATGATTAGTTATACACCCCAATTTTTATTTGCAATTATAATTATTTTGATAAAACTAATTTTTTTTTATTTGTAATACTTAAAAAAAATTAATCAAAAACTATAAATTAAACACTTTTGAAATGTCTATAATTTTTTTTCGTGTCTTTCATCTTCCACTAATTAGTTTTTTTTTTTTTTAATTTCTTCNTTGAGATGTCTATAATTTTTTTTTTCGTGTCTTTCATCTTCCACTAATTAGATTTTTTTTTTTAATTTCTTCTTGATAATTAATTAGACATTAAAATAGATAGTTTAATTGGTTTCCCAATCGCTGAATTGAAACGCTGCTATTAGCAGCTTTTTGCAAATTAGTTGTTTCATCCCAAAAGCCAATACGAACAGCTATTTTACCAAATATTACATTTTAGATGTTCCATAAAGTCAAACAGCTAAATGCCTTATAAAAGCTAAAAGCTAGGTAAAAAGTTGTTTAACAAACAAGGCCAAAAGCCCATATGAAATTATACATTTGACCTAAGTTTGTGACGCTAACATAGTAAACACAAATGATGCTATTAAAATGCCTAACGGTTATAGAGCTACATAATTTTTTTTATACAGAAAATGTATATTTATTGTACCAAAAAAAAAAAATGTATACTTATGTTACAAAATATCATATGTTTACTTATATTATACTTTTTTATATTTTAACATTTGAATATAAAAGTATGTATATTTATTAAAAATATATAGTAGTCTAACAATTAAACCATCTTAAAATTTATTCCAATGTGGAAAACTATAACTGCCTTTTTCATTTAATAATTTTTGTTTTATTTGTTTCATTTTGTTTCAAAGAGAGGAATGATAACTACTCCAGAACAAGATGGAATGAATAAATAAATAAATAAAAGGCAGCATTGATTTTATGTGTGGAGTTAGCATTTAAAAAGAGGGAACTTGCTTCTTCTATAGTCACAACCTTCCCTTTCCATGTTAAGTTGGTTAATATTTCCTCCACTAATTTCATAATCCATTCTCTCACAATTCCATTTAATCTCACCATTTTAGCCAAAAAATGATTGGCCCCTTAAAACAAATTAAGAAAAAAGGAGAGATATATAAATGTTAACAATGGAATAGTAGATGATGTAAGGATATCTAGGCAAATTTATCCAACACATCATTTTACAATTAATAAATGTAAATAATATTTGCTTGTAGGTCATAATTTTTATAGTCAATGTGAAAACTGAACATGTTTTTGCAAGAAGACAAATCAACTATTTCAATTAAAAGCTTATGTAATTCAAGTGCATAATAATCGTATTGATGAATATGGCCCTAGTTCAAATATTTGACCAAGAACTTTGGTTGATAGTGTACATCATAAGTTCCAATGTCCTCTCAATAACCTGCCCACCTAATTGTATATGTTGACTTAACATTTACTACCTTCATAAATAGTATAGTTGATTTAATAGATAGTCTAGCTTTATGATCTAAGGAAAATATAAGTTGTTATGTAACAATTAAACGTGTTATTACACAAAAAAATATATCAATACTAATTTCAAACTGAAAAATTATACTCTACAAAACAACATAAACAAAACTATATTATTCATAAGTATTTATTTTTATTACACGGGTCGAAGCCATCTGACGGTTAAGTCGGCTTATATCTATAGGTAGAATTAAGAAGCCCCAACAAAATGTGTAAAATATAAGTAGGTGTAGTGAAGTTATCGAACCAGTGTAGAGCAATAATGTGGGGAAAGTGACTGATATAAAGGCTATTTATTGAGCCAAGCAACTCTTTCAAAGTGTTTATAGTGTGACCTTGTTTACATAAATTATATAATGAAAAACAGATGTTGAGAGGCTTTTTCGAAGCTAAATGGAGAGAACAACCAAACAACATCCCCCAAAACAACACACAATTTGCAGACTAACATAGAAATCATGAGAAGAGCTAAAGGGAAACCCGTGATTTTTTAAACTTTGCTATTATATCAGTGCCTCAACTGTGCTAGTTGAAGCTTTATATATAGAGACTATAATCCGATGATTTTCGATCATTAGATCACACATACTCACACTTTGATCCAACGATGAAAAACCAATTGTTGGACAAGAAGGTAAGAATTTTCCATCTATACATGAAAAATGATCAAATGATTGGAAATCAAGTAAAAAAAAGAAAAAATAAAAAACATTTCTATTTCATTGGAGATATTTTTCCTAAAAGATACAAACACTCACCCATATAATGTGATAACTGGTGCAGAATGTGATTCTGGTAAAATAAGTATGGCTTTCCTAATGTTGTAAATTCTTATGTTAAATTTTCTCTCTCTCATCACAAAATTCAACTCTTCAAGCACCCTACATTATAAGAAGAGGGAAAATGAAGCAGAAAAAATGAATCCTTTTTTCCCATTAATTCAGTTCCTGAAAATCGAAACCAGTTTTGGCGAGACGAGCAGAACAAACGCCAAGATCGAACCAAAGAACATCTGGATAACATATCTGAATAAATTGGTGTTTGCTTCTTCGGAGGTCGTGTTGGGTGTCGATAATGCCACGGCTGAAGGTAGCGCCTCAATCACGGCATCTGCCATGTCAGCAATAAACGATGGTGTACAATTAAGGGCCGGGACACGACCCCAGTTTACAATCCCGGACTCGAGAGCCAGCTCTCGATACTCCATATCTATCTCCTCAAGAGTTTCTATGTGCTCGCTTACAAAACTGAAAAAAAAAGTTACAAAAACGTAAAGTTAAAGATCATATAGATCACGGATAAGCTTTGTGTGTGTATCTTGGCAATTTGCTAAAGGGCAGTTCTGTAATTTATTTACTGAAAAGCTGATATAGGCTATGTTTGGCAAAACTAACTCATTAGTTTGATAGTTGATGAGCTAGTTGATATTCGAGCTTATAGCTTATGACTTATAGCTGAAAAGCTGGCATAAATGATAAAAGTGTTTGGGAAAATTAGCTGATAAGCTAGTTGAAATAATAATTTCAATGAGCTTATTTGAAAAACTATCCAAAGAAGTTTATGAGATAAGCTCGAGCTTTTTAAAAAAGCCCGTCCTATCAAACGAAGCTTATTTAATTACGGGAAGCTTATAAGCTAACCAAGTAAGCTATAAGCTAGCTTATTTGGTTACCAAACATAGCCATAAACCTATGAATAAAAGTCAAAGAAAGCATTACCTCACTGGAACAGCAAGGAGAGATTTTACGCCTCGCTGGCCGAGCTCAACAAGAACTTCATCGGTGTATGGCTTCAACCATTGAACGGGCCCCACACGGCTCTGTTAGGATAAATAGATCAAATTTTTTGCCATCAAAAGTCAAAACCACCTGGACTGGACGGTACTATTCAACACATGTTTCGTTTTATTGTTCTGTTCAATAGCGAGAAAGAATTCAAAGGCATATTAGTTTCGAACTAACCTGGTAAGCCAATGTGTGATCGTTATTAATTCCTCTAGACTTGAGTTCTTGCATTATCAAGAATATACAGTCTTCCATTTGGTTTTTATACGGATCGCCTGCATCCTCAACGTAACTTACGGGAACTCCATGGGCGCTGAAGAAAATCATGGCCTACAAATTTATTAATCAAACAAGAAGAAATTATCAAGTTTTTGAGTAATAAAATTGAATTTTGGGGAGCGTTTGCAAGGAAATAGATAGAAAAAGGGGAGCAATTTTCATCTTTGTGAAGCTGGAAATCGACCTTTTTGTTTTAATTTTATTTTTTGATTTCTTCCCAAGGGAAGAAACAACTGTTTCAAAATGAAATGGAATAATATATAGTAGAAAGCTAAAAAAGTTGAATAAGTCAAAAACTTAAACGTGCTGGATTTCTGTGATAAACTCAAATTATAAATCTAATCAGAAAAGCAGGACAATGAGCTCACCTCTTTTGGGTTCTGAAAATTTTGCAACTCGTTTTCAATCAAGTTAGCCATAGACTTGATATAACCTTCCCGTTGATACCACGACTGTATGATAGCAACAGGTAAGCTCGACAAGTATTTATCATCCCTGATAAGCAGTCTCCCAGATTAGTTATCAAGATAGAACAAGGATAATATGCTCAGCAGATAAAGATTTTAAATTTCCAATGAATAGTCACCTAAACATGTCTCGGAGAACCCGAATGCTTGACCCAGTTGTTGAAATAGAATATTGAGGATAAAGTGGCAACACTACAAGCTTTGTAATCTTGTCTCTCTTGATCTATCGCAAAAAGTACCAAGAAAAAAAATGAGAACGAGCACATAGTTATTTGAATTCAATTTGTCTATGAGGCAATATAAAAATGATACAGGCAGATTAAAACAAGTGATTCTAGATTATTATGTTGATTTTTCGTCCAAAAA